GCATTTAACTCCAGGGGTGGAGAAGGTGAAGGCTGTAGCAGCAGTACGTTTAACTCCAGGGGTGAAGGAGGTGGAGGCTGTAGCAGCAGTACGTTTAACTCCAGGGGTGGAGGAGGTGGAGGCTGTAGCAGCAGTGCATTTAAGTCCAGAGGTGGAGGAGGTGGAGGCTGTAGCAGCAGTGCATTTAACTCCAGAGGTGGAGGAGGTAAAGGCTGTAGCAGCAGTGCGTTTAACTCCAGAGGTGGAGGAGGTGGAGGCTGTAGCAGCAGTGCGTTTAACTCCAGGGGTGGAGAAGGTGAAGGCTGTAGCAGCAGTGCGTTTAACTCCAGAGGTGGAGGAGGTGGAGGCTGTAGCAGCAGTGCATTTAAGTCCAGAGGTGGAGGAGGTGAAGGCTGTAGCAGCAGTGCATTTAAGTCCAGAGGTGGAGGAGGTGGAGGCTGTAGCAGCAGTGCATTTAACTCCAGGGGTGGAGGAGGTGGAGGCTGTAGTAGCAATGCGTTTAAGTCCAGAGGTGGAGGAGGTGAAGGCTGTAGCAGCAGTGCATTTAAGTCCAGAGGTGGAGGAGGTGAAGGCTGTAGCAGCAGTGCATTTAACTCCAGGGGTGGAGGAGGTGGAGGCTGTAGCAGCAGTGCGTTTAACTCCAGGGGTGGAGAAGGTGAAGGCTGTAGCAGCAGTGCGTTTAACTCCAGAGGTGGAGGAGGTGGAGGCTGTAGCAGCAGTGCATTTAAGTCCAGAGGTGGAGGAGGTGAAGGCTGTAGCAGCAGTGCATTTAACTCCAGGGGTGGAGAAGGTGAAGGCTGTAGCAGCAGTACGTTTAACTCCAGGGGTGGAGGAGGTGGAGGCTGAAGCAGCAGTGTGTTTAACTCCAGGGGTGGAGGAGGTGAAGGCTGTAGCAGCAGTACGTTTAACTCCAGGGGTGAAGGAGGTGGAGGCTGTAGCAGCAATGCCTTTAACTCCAGTGGTGGAGAAGGTGAAGGCTGTAGCAGCAGTGCATTTAACTCCAGGGGTGGAGGAGGTAAAGGCTGTAGCAGCAGTGCATTTAATTCCAGGGGTGAAGGAGGTGGAGGCTGTAGCAGCAGTGCCTTTAACTCCAGTGGTGAAGGAGGTGGAGGCTGTAGTAGCAATGCGTTTAAGTCCAGGGTGGAGGAAGTGGAGGCTGTAGCAGCAGTGCATTTAAGTCCAGAGGTGGAGGAGGTAAAGGCTGTAGCAGCAGTGCATTTAAGTCCAGAGGTGGAGGAGGTGGAGGCTGTAGCAGCAGTGCATTTAAGTCCAGAGGTGGAGGAGGTGGAGGCTGTAGCAGCAGTGCATTTAAGTCCAGAGGTGGAGGAGGTAAAGGCTGTAGCAGCAGTGCATTTAAGTCCAGAGGTGGAGGAGGTAAAGGCTGTAGCAGCAGTGCATTTAAGTCCAGGGGTGAAGGAGGTGGAGGCTGTAGCAGCAGTGCGTTTAACTCCAGAGGTGGAGGAGGTGGAGGCTGTAGCAGCAGTGCATTTAATTCCAGGGGTGGAGGAGGTAAAGGCTGTAGCAGCAGTGCATTTAACTCCAGAGGTGGAGGAGGTGGAGGCTGGAGCAGCAGTGCGTTTAAGTCCAGGGGTGGAGGAAGTGGAGGCTGTAGCAGCAGCTGTTTTGCCTTTAACTCTAGGGGTGGAGAAGGTGAAGGCTGTAGCACAAACAGAAGAGGTGGAACCTTTCTTTACTTTAACCCTAACTTATGAGAGGACCTTTACAGCTTCCCTCAGTTTCCTTTCCTTTTGCTTGTCAAGGTTTTGCTTCTTTTTCTTCAATTGATTTTGGTATGTCCCAGGCACAATCTCCTCAATGCAGGGGTAATTTGCATTTTGGAGGCTGTTTTGCCAATTACCTTCATGTGGGACTTGATAATAGCTAAGTTTTCATAAGTCTCAATGTTCAACCTAACCTTGTCTTTCTCAATTATGTCATCCATGATGTTAAACAATCCTTCGACAAGAGGGTCAGTGAACAATGACAGAAGAGCCTTTACCAACTTCCCTAAGATGGGGACTCCTCCTCCTGGCATCTTCATGGCAAAGATCTTACTCCACCAGCCAACATCGATTTGTGCAATGTTCTCCTCAAAACATTTGGCAAGTGCTCTTAGATCTGGTAGGCTTGCACCTCTTCATCCAGTTGTCCCAACTCCTCAGACTTCACACTTTCACTTTGATATTTTAGCGCAGATGTAGTCGAATTGCACTGTAACTTAGGGCCATTTAAAACCAATATATTGAAACGTCTGTTTATCCAGTCATTAGAAAAATATCAGTCTATGCATTTTATATTTAATATGAGGGAAATACAAATCCGTAAAAGGGGTCGCACACTGAACGAGAAGCGCCACGCCACGTCTAGGGGGCTGTTTACACCTGGCCACTTCATGCGTTTTCTCAGATCGGATGGCTATCTGATTTATCAAAACGATTCAATTGACACCTGGTCACATACATGTGTGTTTGCAAAACGGATATAAATCCGATCTTCAATTCCCCCACGCTATATGCGGATTTAATGAAGTGCACGTCACCAAAAACAACATATGAAGAGTTCAGATGCAAAAGCCTCTAAGTGCCATTTGAAATTTTCTTCTAAAATGATCATTTTTATCAAGCTTGTATATTTAAGTTCAGTGATTTCACTTTAATGGCAATGATAATTACCTATTAATTGTTATTTAAGTGAAATTACTGAACTTAAATATACAAGTTTGATAAAAATCATTATTAAAGAAGAAAATTTCAAATGGCATTTAGAGGCTTTTGCATCTGAACTCTTCATATGAGCTGCATTTTGATCATCGGCTAATTTCAAAATCAGCAGAGACAGCAATAAGAGAGAGCGGCAACCTGGTAAGATCATTTAGTTTCTTTACTTTTAATGAAGATGGTAGTGTTAAGTGTCTGCGACTTACTTTCACTTTGATTTGCGATAGATTGCAGCGCACTGGCTTGATAGGCGCTCAGCTGCTCATCTGAGGTGATGCGTGTCGCAGTAGCATCGTCATATCTGACTAAAATAACATGACATATAGCCTATAACACGCTCTCACACGTTTTTTTTTTTTTAGCATTTTTGGGAGTAGTAACATTTACATATGTGGTTTCAACAACCAGATGCATTTACACATGTCCAGTTTCGTCTGGAATGTGGCCCAGCCTACCTTCTGATGTGGTTTGAGTGATCGGAGTTTCAGAAGGCATTTACACCTGGTCTTTTCAAGATCGGATACAGTAAACGTATGAAGTGATTTAAGAGCACCGTTAACTGAATTAATTGAGAATCTCACCTGAAAATCCAATAACATCAGCAATTGTCATTCAAGCAGCTGATTTCTGTATTATGGTTTATATGCATTCATCAGATATTTCATCCCTCTCTATTTATTTGTATTGTAAGAAAAAGAGCTTCCCGGGCACTACAAAATAATTCATTTTGTGTTGCATATAAGAAAAGTAGATAAAATGGGTTTAGAATTACACGAAAACCTTATGGAAAAAAAAAAAACAACAACATTAAAAAAACTGATTTAGTTATTATTTCGTGCTGTTTAAAACTAGGGTTGACAATAGAATCAAATAATTATGATTACTCTCATTATTTATAATAATATGAACATTCCAGTGTTAAATCTTGTATAAAACATATTTAGGCCTAATTACAAACTTACAAATTACTGCAAGGTTATTTATTTGGGGTATAGCACACGCCTTTGGTAAAATTCAAATGAGCCATTTTAATCTAGATTAATTTCAAAATTAATCTAGATTAAAAAAATAATCTATGCCCACCTCTAATATATATATATATATATATATATATATTCTACTGTTTTAAAACATATTTCAAAGTTTGCATTCTCAGGCCTCTGCTGTCCTGTAAATGAATGGCCAAACGTTTAAAGTCCCTGTGAAATCAAAATTGACCATACTTACTTTATTTGCCTAAATTGATAGTTTTGTGGTGAACAATTCATACATGCAAGTCAATCCACACAAAAAAAATTTTGGCTTCGTAATCTTTAATCAAAGTTTGAAAATGCCCCTCCCCTCTGCATTGGAGGACCTTGCCCGATGACGTAGGCTTTACGGTTGGGGTGTCTCCTTAACATCCATAACCACACCCCTCCAACTGACAGCTGCTGTGTGTTTGCGAGCGCCGAGCGAGCATTGATTGACAGCGTGTGTAAACTTGCGTCATCCTCCATTTCAAAATGAAACACCCATTTTTCTAGATCCAATCAGGTGGTAGTTAGAAAAAAAAGCCACGCCCACTATTTTGCCTCATTTAGTATTCCGTTTCTCTCCGAAATACGTCATAACACTGGAGAAAAGTCGTTTGCAACTTCCGGTTCACGGGGACTTTTAACCTAATTTAATAACAAATGATTTTTACAATGGAAATTAATCAATCAAAAACTTACTAAACAATGACTTTGTCCTAGATCTGCTATACAACAATCTGAAAAATATGTATCTGTATTATTACCCCAAACTCAACATATTGTTCCCTTATACCAACATGGAGGTACACTATAATTACAGAAATGTACACCTTAATTTCGGCTTACTTACGAAGTTATTTGCAGGTTGTACTGTATATCTGCTTGTTTTATAACTCATTGTTCCCTTATACCTAAATGGAAGTACACTATAATTATGTAAACGTACACTGTCATTTCGGTTTACTTAAGCAGTTGTTTGTGGGTCATAATAAAATGTGTTACCCACTATTGATATCTGTAATACATTTTGTTGGGTTCTGTTTAACAGGAGGGGTTTATCCCTGCTCTTATCCATTCTGCGCTGGACAGGGAGTTCTTGCCTAGACACGATCTATATCACCAACCCAAACTCTATGATAAATGTCAATCATCTTTGATGGTAATGATGGTCCTGACAGAACATTAGATTAGTATTGTCTCCTGTCAACCATTGACTTTAATACAAACAATATTCTAATTGGGATTATAAAAAAAATGTCATCATAAATTAGATAATTATCTGTTTTTGTTTATTATCTTGAACTGATACAATCCTTTGACAAAAGCATGTCTGCAATGTCAGCTCAATCATATATCATGCACTCATGCAAAACATTCAGGAATCTGTCAAATCTGCAGTTTCTTATGCATTCCTGTGTTTCAATCGGCTCCGCTATACTAAGGACGAAACTCCAGCTCCTTGTAAAGGTGTTGCTTGAGCCAGGGCATCACTGAGAACACACTGATGTGGAAGTCCCGGGCGTCGAGAGGCCGGTTATCTCTGACAGCTGTCCTTGAGTCACATGTCTGCTTAGTGCCCCAGCTAATGACTGCCACCTGTGGGAGAATAACAGAAGTCAAATGATCTGAAAAGTCAAGAGTTTTGCTCTGGGGTGTGTTTCCTGAACAATTACATAACTCGCTGCTTAAAGGTGCTCTAAGCGATGTCACACATATTTTAGGCCCAAACATTTTTTTATCTCCTCACTATCCGCTAGCTGCCTGTCCCCTAAACACACTGTAAAAAAAACACCCAGACCAGTTTCTCACTTGCCTTTTCTTTCAAAAGTGCTTGAAAAAGTTTTTTTTTTTTTTTCCAATTACATTCTTTTCTAGAAAATAACTTTCTGTTTGAGAAATTTCGATCAGGATTTAGATCGCGCCATAGTACTGAGTCTGCATTATTAAAGGTACACTACGATATTGCCCGCTTTGTTGATGCTAAGAGTCCCGTTATTTTAGTGCTTCTCAATCTCACGCCGGCTTTTGATACAGTGGACCATGCAATTCTTCTGTCTCGCCTCAATCACTATGTTTGCATTAAGGGTACTGCGTTTCAGTGGTTTTCGTCATACTTGACTAACAGAACCTTTTCAGTAGTGATTGGGAATTCGTACCCTTCTACTACTTCTTTCTCCTGCGGGGTGCCACAAGGCTCTATTCTTGGACCAGTTTTATTTTCGCTCTATCTGCTGCCCCTGGGGTCCATCATAGCCAGGCATAACATAGCTTATCACTGCTACGCTGATGATTTGCAGATTTATTTGCCGATAAGTCCAACAAATAGTGATGCATTCGGGTCACTAGTTGATTGCATTGACGACATTAACTCATGGTTAGGAAAAATTGTCCTTAATTTAAATGAAGATAAGACCGAATATATTTTATTTGGTGAGTCTGCAAACACTGACCCTAATATGTTATTTTCAAGTTTTAGACCGAGTGTCAGAAATCGCGGTGTGACTTTTGATAGTAGCCTGAAATTTGACAAACAAATTGATAGTGTGGTAAAAGCAAGTTTTTTTCAGCTACGTCTATTGGCAAAGGTCAAACCTTTTTTAAATCGTTCGGATCTTGAGAAAGCTATTCATGCTTTTATTAGCTCAAGATTAGATTACTGTAATGCACTTTACGTGGGAGCATTTCAGTCATCACTCAGGCGCCTTCAGCTGGTACAGAACGCAGCAGGTCGTCTTTTAACTAATACACGCAAGCGTGAGCATATAACCCCAATTCTTTCTTCGCTTCACTGGCTTCCGGCTTCTTTTAGAGTTGATTTTAAAGGGCTTTTTAAATTTTATTATATTGTTGTCCGAGGTCAACTTATGATGTTCGCTTGGTTTTTGCATTCAAAAAGTTCAAAATGAATAAGTAATAGGCTATTTTGTACGAGCTTACCTGAAAAACGGTCAGTTTTTATAGGCGTGTCGCACTGAAGACTTGGAAGTAAACGCCCACTGCTGCGAGAGGAGAACAGTTTTGCATATTATAATGAGTTTAACTCACGTTGGTGCACGTGGGGGAAAACGTCCAATGTTGTAAAATGGCAACCGGATTCGCCCATACATGTTCGACCCAGAGTCCGTGTGTTGCACCATTACTGTCAGATCCAATATAGACGGCACAGCTCCGTTCGTTACTCTTAATGGGTCTGCAAATCCAGTCTTGTTTACAAAACAATCCTCAGTGAAATGAAGCGAACAGACGACGATGTTACCCTCATCAGCTGGAACGTCATTAAAAATAAAGTTTATCCATGCAGTCCTATTGGAATCCAGCTTATGCAGCGACTGTCTTCTTCCACAACCAGGCACTGCACAATATTCTGTATTGCTCGGTTGCTCGAACCGGTTTGTCATCACGAGGTAGGCATGTTATTCATCTATGCGTGTAATGCGTGAATCGGTGGGCGGGGCTAAACCTGCCGTGTTATAGTAGGAGTTGATCTTCTTCTGTGGGGGTGGTGTTTTATAATCTTTGACGTCATATTTCCCCACTTTTAAAAACGAGTCGTTTTCAGAGGCTGGTGTCAATAAAAGCTTTTATTGGACTAACAAGGACGTTTTCAGTTCTGAAACTTACAGGATATTCTTATAATATGATGACCTCTTAGATGTCAAAAGCTCAAGGAAAATTTGATTTCTCAGTTCATCACCCCTTTAAGATTTTATTGTTTGTTTTTAAAGCTCTCGATTGGCTTGCTCCACCGTACGTGACTGAGATGCTAACCTTACGAGAATCAAACAGGACTCTCAGGTCAACAAATCAACTTTTGTTGGTTGTCCCAAGGACAAGGTACAGACTATGGGGTGAGCGGGCCTTTTCTGTAGCTGGGCCAAGACTTTGGAACAATCTACCTGCCGATTTACGAACTATCACGGAATTAGGCCCTTTTAAAGCTAAGCTTAAGACTTATTTATTTAGACTGGCTTTTATATCAAAACTTTGTTGACTCATTCTGTGTCATTTTCCATTGTATTGTTGTTTTTTTGTTGTTGTTTTATTGTTATTTTGGAAAGCACTTTGGTTCACCTTGAAAAAGGGATGTAAAGGGCTGTATAAATAAACATTGATTGATTGATTGAACCCAGGCTCCACAAATGGCAACAAAAACATACTGCGACAACCCGTTCCATGAAACATAACAAACTGTTCCAGCCAATAACTGACATCAGGCCCTGAGGGAGGGTCTTTCTAGCCTCTGTTTTGTTTGAAAATACTTTAAACGTCAACAAGAAGTCACGTCACCCGACATCGCTTAGACCACCTTTAACTAACCGTTGTACAATGCATCGTTAAAGAAATCAACTAGCTAATCACGACTGTTTCCCGAAACCATATTGTTGCAAATTTGTTGTTCAGTAATAACTTATTTTAACGAATCCGTTTAAGATCTAATTAATGCTAAAAGTTTTGCTATAAATCACAGATATATCATCTGAGAACTATGTCCCTTTTTTTTTTTTTTTTGCTTATTTATTTCTAGATTCAATCATAGTTCTTACATATTAATTAATGCATGTACATGCTCACTCTTCAAAAATTACACTTTAAATCTTGGCAAACTAAAAGATGAAATTGACATTTGCATATATTTGAAATCAAATATGCATATTTGATTTGATATAGGACACCATGCAGGAATTCTGTTTTTGCTGTCGCTGTGGAGTACTTGTTTTTAATGTTACTGTCGTAAATACCACTCACGCAGAGCGTGACGTCTTACATAAGCTGTGTCCCAATGTTAAGGCTGCATCCTCCGAAGTCCGTATTTGAAGGCCGATTGCGTCACAGCCGCATGACGAAGGACGTCCCAATTCAAAGGCTGCATCCGCGAAGGCCGCATTTAAAGGCCGATTGCGTCATCGCGGTGGGATGAAGGCTGTCCCAATTCAGTTATGCATCCTCCGAAGGCCGTATTCGAAGGCCGGTTGCGTCATTGCAGCGCGACGAAGGCTTACCTGATTCAAAAGCGACGCCAAATGCACCCTTCGTTTCCCTGTGAAAGGAAGGATACATAAATGGACACTTCGCGGACTATCCTACCCGATCCTACCCCATAAATCATTGCGCGGGTGACGACAGCATTTTTATTTAAGAAAAGGGTGGCCGAGAGTTCAGTGGTGGACGGCAAATTCACATTTAAATGTAAAAGTATTATGTTTTTATTTACTCAAATAGCCAGAGAAACCAGTGTTAACAGCCAAAAGTTTGTTTTTTTTTCGTTTTTTTTTTCTTGTTCATCTTAACTCATTCGTCAGCATTGCATGGTTTTGTCAAGTGGAAATGCGAAAACGGCTTTTATAGCCTTGTATTGTATTTCTTGTACATTGTATTTCTTTATTATTCATTATTTCATTATTTTATGCAACTTTAAATGTGTACACAAAAGAGAATTCATGGCTCTGGATATTTGTTTATTTTTGTAAGGGTCTCTGAGTGTTTGCAAGGTTGATGCATTTAAACTATAATATACTTTTGTTTTGTGTCGTTTAATGTAAAATGTGTAGTGTTGTTGTCCTGTGAGGGAAAAAAGTAGGCTACTTCACATTATCTATATTGAAATATGAATATTGGAATTATTGGAATATGAATTGGAAATTCATCCTAGAAATGTTGTATTATTTGCCAGTGATATCAAGACATATTCTTTAAAAACACGTAATATTATCTTACATTACTTTGACTCAAGTATAGGTATTATTAAGAGAAAAGAAACCAGAATAACTGTTCTTTGCTGTGCACTTTCACTTCCTCCTTGGGGGCTCTTCTTTTTATCAAGTACAAACTACAAAGCACTCACTTGAAAATATCGCATCCTCTTACGTAGAAAGAGAGCTCCTCCAGAATCCCCTGCAAAGAATTGCACTCATTATGTGTCATCTCAGTGTGTAGATATTAATATATATATATATATATATATATATATATATATATATATATATATATTTTTATTCAATCAAACCTTTGCAAGTCATTTCATGTCTGATTGACTCTGTTCCTCCAGTGCACATGAACCTGTCTGTGATCACTTCTGACAGAGATGCGCTGCTGTTTGCAGGAAAGGTGGATCTTGCTTTCTTTAAGCATTCACCTCTCTGTGGGAGAAAGTTTTATATCATAATATACATAATCGACTAAATTATAGGATGCACTGATTAATTAATCAAATGGATCATATGAAATTACATTACAAGTGAATTATTGTTTGTTTTATTTCCATTTTATTGAACACAAGTTTATCACTACCAGTCCTACATGTCTATTCACAAAGGATGTGTTCTTCAAGTCCTTCTGTTTTAATTGTTGGTCTATGTACAGATGTGGCCAAAAGATTAGCCAGTGACAAATTCTGTGCAAACAAATTGCAGTTTCCTGGTTTACTGTGTTGGTGCACATTTTTTTCTAGATTATTGTGCGGAGAAATCAGATGCATTTTAAATAACTGCAAAAAGCTTCACTTCATCACAAAAAAAGCAAAATATGTTTTTTTGTTTTTTGGCCCTGGCATCTGACATCATTTCACTAATCATATCAATAGCTCATGTGAATTTGAGTACAAGTCTGGTAAAATCACTCTACCATTCTGATTGAATTATGAGAGCAAACTTATTGCATTTAAGGAAGGAAAGAAGTGCTTCCAATCATTGTATGTGTGTGTTAGCAATGGTTGTCTCCAAAAAAAGACTTGCAGCCATCATTGCTGTGCATCAACATGGCCTCACATGCAAGGAAATTGCTGCAAAGAATATTGCACCTGAAAGAACCGTTTACTAAGAACTTCAGAGAGAGAGGTTCGACTGTAGTAAACAACGCGTTGATTTCAAGTTGATTTTCCGTTAGTTTTGAAAGAATGACGCGTCTGACGTTGGTTCAACGTTAATTCGATGAGCAAAACAATGTCAGATCAACGTTGTTTCGATGTCGTGTTTCCACGTTGATTCAATGTCAGTTTGCTATCTGGGTCTTCACACACAATGGGTGGTGATGGCACAGTGGATAAGACACATGCCTTTGATATGAGAGGACCGGGTTCGAAATCACTGCGAGACACTAATGTGTCCCTGAGCAAGACACTTAACCCCTATTTGCTCCAGAGGTGTATATAGCAATATAGCAATTGTAAGTCACTTTGGATAAAAGTGTCAGCTAAAGGAATAAATGTAATGTAAACATTGAGGCCAAGTCTTCTGAATTATAGCCTAGTGTCAAGAAGAGCAGCAAAGAAGCCACTTCTCTCCATGACAAACATCAAGAACATACTGAAATTCTGCAGGAGGTACAAGTATTGGACAGCAGAAGACTAGTGCAAAGTTATTTTCTCAGATGAAGTTAACTTCCAACTATTTGGGACATCTGGAAAATAGATTGTCTGGAGAACAAATCGCTACCATGAGTCCCATGCCGTTCCAACAGCGAAACATCCTGATGCCATCCATGTGTTGGGTAGCTTTTCATCCAGGGGAGTGGACGCTCTAACAATTCTGCCCAAAAACGCTGCTTAATAAAGAATGGTATCAAAACATCCTGCAAGAGAAACGTCTCCCATTGACTCAGGAAGGTGAAGATCTGTGCATTTTCCAGGATGATGGCGCAGCATGTCACAAGGCAGAACTGATAATGAAGTGGCTCAGAGATCCTGGCAACTCCTTGGATCTTCATTCCATATGTTATGTACAAGTATGTATTGTTTTTCTCTTGTGAATATGTTAAGGTCATTGCTATGTATTTTTGTCTATTGTTGCTTATGCATTTTCCCTCTCTATTTTCTCTCTATGCTGATGCTCTTCATGTGGTGATTATAGACACCTGCACCTCATTTACTGATGGTCATCTGTCACCTCATTCATTGGTTCCAGCAAGAAGAGAACCAGCAAATGAAGCACCCTTAAGCCACACAGCAAGCAAAGAGATTTCAAGCCCAGGAAGAGATTTGTCGAAACAATCTGACAACGGTCTCCATGGTGACCCCTGGTGGTCAGAGCGGTGTAAGTGCAACAAAACCCGAGCCAAACATGCATAACACCTTTTACTAATCTATTGCCTTTTTTTATTGAAAGTAAAATATTTCAAATGCAATCATTTAATCATCTAATAAGATTATCAAGTGTCTATATGTTCTTTTATCAATTGTATCAATTGTTTGTTTTATTTGTTCTATGAATGGCTCAGCTAAAAAGCCCAATAAGAGTTTTAACTATACCATTATTCATTTTAATTCTACTAATGTCTAATTAAAATGCCTACAAATTTATAAAACTGATCAGAGATCAGGTAAAACCCACAGACACTTGTTCATTGGGTCTCAGTCACTCTTCATGATTCATGGGTTGACAGAGATCATCGCACCCAGTGGTGAACCATTGAAATTTCGAAGTGTTTCGAAACAGTTGTTATTTGGTTTACTGAAATTACTCTTGACTCTGGGAGTTTAAAACACCATTGTTTCAGAACAAAAGATTTGTAAAGTCTTCAAAACTTCATGAAGCAGTGTTTTGAATTTGCCATCAGTAGTTTTTGCTAAGAGCATGCTCTGGTATACCTTCCTTGTGCTGACAGTTTAAGTTGTTAAGTCTTTTATTGGTTGAGTTATTTGGAATCCTGTAGGGAGGTGGGTGCCATTTTTCTTTGTAATTTATCTTTTTCTTCTGTTTTTCTGAGTGAGACAGGGAAGTTTTGCTGTTTTATTGTTGTTATACTTTTGCTGTTATAATCTTTTTGTTTTATTATTTTGGCCTTGCTCACTCCAGAAGCTTTTGTTCCATTTTTTCCTGTTTTTACTGAATTACACTTCAGTTTGACCTCTGGTTGGCAGCGTTCTTTCGTGAGCTGGGGCTGGAGATAAGAAGTTCCCCATGGTCCCTCTCATCTCAATGACTACTTTTACATGCAGCCAATAACCCGTTCAAAACCGGGATATTAGCAATAACCCGGTCATGAACGACCATGTAAACACCGGCAAAAACCCGAATATGCTGCCGGATTTTAAAAACCGGGATATTATACCTGGGGTACCCCTATTCTAACCCGAATTTTTGGTCATGTAAACGCGTATCGGCATATCCCCATAGTGATTTGTGTTCTGTGCATGTTCTATTCGCAAGGAATCTTGGTCTTTTGAGTAGAGAAACTACTCGGCGCATACAAAAATTCACGTGCAGTATACCGTAAGTAAACATGGCGAGACACAGCACAGCATACTTTTGGAGCGAGGTCAGTAACGTTACCAGCATCAAAGCGCAAACAAAGGCGATCGCTATCTGCCCCGAACTATTCATTATCCGCATGCTGCTGTTGTTGTTGTCTTTGGATACAGGAAGAAGAATCGGAAATGACGCATGTTGCGTCTTGAGGTTGTCTGTACGTCCAGACGCTAACCACGCGTCGCCGTTTACATCGGGATATTGCAATTCCATGTATACAGGAGAAACTCTCTCTGCTCACGCATGTAAATGGGTTATTCCTAATGTTTCAGAAACCCGAATAGTGACCTTAACCCGACCATAACCCGAAAATTGGCTGCATGTAAACGTAGTCATTGTTACATTTTCCCTTACCACCTAGACATAAAAAGGGGAGATCGTAACACACAGAGAACCTGTGGTCAATCCTCAAAAGGTGACTGCTCGTATCATCACTTATGATCTGTGCTTTGTCGTAACGAGTGATCTTTGAACTAAACAGGTCTTGTCTACGTGTGTTTGTGTATCATATGAATAATATCTGCCCCATCCATGGAATCAGAGTGCCTACTGTATGTAGTAAATGGAAAATCTCCACAGCAAAAGGCCAACCACATGCGGTTAGTTCTACCATTTATTAGTAATGATTGTTTATTACTTACTATATTCCTGAGCATTCAGTATTGACCAAGTATGCATACTATTGTGACTCCCCAACCTGCCTTCACGTTGCCCCATTAACTGTACTATGAATACGTCGACCTTGTCTAACATACCCAGTGATAATAGACAAAATCTCCACCACAATACTGTCACCGCGATCGCAGAGAGGCTCTGATAAAATGACTCACTCTCACACTAACTCCGCTTTTGATTGCACTGATTCAATGCGCTGTAACTCGAACATTTTGTATAGAAACATGATGTTTTTTGAGTCGGGGATGAAGTATGACATGTCTGCCATGCAGTGGAGGGGATGTCAAACGAAATTTGACACCCAATTTGATAAAATCGCCCGTTTTATTCAGTGACGCATCTTGTCGAGTAAACTCGACCCTGGCGCCAAGATACATGGATAAAAAAAATGTAAAAAAATTAATGACCCGCCCCGCAAATAAAGTGACAATTTCTTTACCCGCCCCAACCCGATCCGCGGGTTACGAGTCGACCCGCGCATCACTAGTCTCAGTTTTTCAGAAACTGGTGATCTACTGGGATTTTCACGCACAACCATCTCTAGGGTTTACAGAGAGAGAATATATCCAGTGAGTGGCAATTCTGTGGGTGAAAATGCATCAACAAAGCCGGAGGTCAGAGGTGAATAGTCTGACTGGTTTGAGCTGATAGAAATAGTAACTCAAAATAACCACTCGTTACAACCAAGGTCTGCAGAAGATCCTCTCTGAACGCACAACACGTGGAACCTTGAAGCAGATGGACGATAGCAGCAGAAGGCAAATTGGTGCCACTCCTGCTAGATGAGGCTACAATTCACACCGGCTCAATCAAATTTAAGAATAGAGGATTGGAAAAAAAAATTCTGCTGCAATTTAGATCGTAGGGTCAGAATTCGGTGTCAACAACATAAAAGCGTAGATTCATCCTGCCTTGTATCAACGGTTCAGGCTGTGGTGTGAGGGAAACTAGTATTTTTTAAACACAAAAATGAGTTCACTAAACTCAAATGGCCCCACAGTCACCAGATCTCAATCCAAAAGAGCCCTTTTGGCATGTGCCGAAACGGAAGATTCGCACCATGGATATGCAGCCGATGAATCAGCAACTGTGTGATGCGATCAAGTCAATATGGACCAAAATCTCGGAGAGGAATGTTTCCAGCATCTTGTTAAATCTATGCAACCAAGAATTAAGTTCTGAAGGAAAAAAAAACATGTCTAACCTAGTGAAGTGGCCGGTGAGTGTATAAGGCAGCTGTAACTGGGATGACCTAAGTCTGAGTCCCGGCTCAAGGTCATTCCCCCTCTCTCCTCCTCCCTGTTCTTTTCTGACTCATATACACGGCATTGTCTAATAAAGGCACAACACATATTAAAGTGATTTTGTAAGGACAGCACTCACTTTTGCACCACTATGTATGTGGGTGTCTGCTCGATGAGTTCCCTGTCTGATGAAGTTAGCCGGAGTCTCTTCCAGGTGAATCAGGGATCTCTCTGGTCAATCACACAAACATTCATTCCATCATAGAATTATTTTTTATCTTTTAGTTAAAGATTATGAGTTTGACTGTTTTGAACTTTGATGTTATTCACTATAAATCTTCATAACAATATATTAAAGTCCCTGTAAAGTCAATTCTAAAAAAAAAAATCGAAACACATTATAATTTTTAAAACTGTACTGCTTAAACATATTACAAAGACTGTGAAGTGTGGAGTACTGAATTGTGGAGTTAAACCGTTGCTGTGTTCCGGATTTTTTGCACGGGACTAAAACAGGGCTCGATGACGCACTGGAGCCCCTGAGACACGCCCCTACTTCACATCAGTTCGCCGCTGAGTCGTGAGTTACTGTCAGTACTATTAGTTACTACAGCCCACGGTTTGCTAGCTAGCGATGCCTTCGTCACGGAAATGCGTAGGCTACTACCTGGATGTGATCACGCACAAAACAGATTGGTGTCCTTATTTAATTTTCAGAAAAACTATCACATCAAGAAGAGGTGGATTAATATCGTGAAGAGTCACATTGACTGAGAGCTGAGGATCACTGCCAACACCCGCCTCTGTAGTGATCATTTTACACAGGATAGATTTATAAACTTTCGTCTGAGATAACTGGGATTCAATGATAACCCGCTGTTACTGGTGAACAGTAAAAGTCCTGCCACATTTTTATTCCACCCACAGCAAAAACTCCAGTGTTAAATTAACTTTACTGGGAGTTTATTTGGATCCAGACTCAAGAGTGTTAAAGTTAATGAGATAATTATGTGAATAATTGAGTGATAAATGAGCATTATTTAAGACACCAGATGTTAACTAGCAGAATCACTGAAGGAGAAAATCTATATTTTAGTCACCATTATGGTGATCAGTGTTTGCTTTAGTTGGGCAGGTGACCTTTAAATGCTTCACTAAAAATGTTGTTTATTTTTGGCTGTTTTAACAGCTGGATGAACAAAGAGCTCAGATCAGATGTTCTAGATCATGTTTAGACATAATCATCATTTGACCTGAATCACTGAACTCATTTAAAGCCTACTCTCTGATTTAAAAGTTTTATGATCATAACAGCATCACTGTGATTCTATAACATTAGACCCAGATTTTTTCAAAATAAACCAAATGATATCTAAAACGTTGTTCTGATAAATAAAAATCTTTCTTTTAGGCACACACAGACATCAAGAGTCAGTGTATGAATCTCAACAATGGTTACAAACAGAATATTCAATTAGGGAAAGGAAATTACTAAGACAATTCAGATCATAATTTATTCATACCGCAATGCATGATGGGAGCCATGAATGAGTTTTGATTGGTGGCACCCAGAATGCACTGCAACATGCTATATAATTAATCACTGGCTGATTATTGGTGTCTGTGTGTGCCTATAAAGTATTTAGAATAGAACAGCTTTTAAGAAATCTTTTGGATAATATTTACATTTCTAAAAAAGTTTTTTGTGACAAATGGTGATTATGTCAAAACATAACCAACCCCAGCGCATCAGCTTTCCTTGTTGTTCATTTGGCAGTTATAACTCATGTACAGCAGCCAAACAACTTATAAAGTTAATGATTTAAGAGACAAGAGCCCAACTAAAGCAAACACTGATCACCATAATGGTGACTAATGGTGGTGGTGAAAAATGTGACGTTCTCCTTCAGTGATTCTGCTTGTTAAAATCAGGTGTCTTTAATAATACTCAATCATCACTCAATTATTGACTTAATTATCTCATTCACTTTAACACTCTTGAGTCTGTATCCAAATAAAATTCCAGTAAAGTTCATTTAACACTGGAGTTTTTGCTGTGGGTGGAATAAACATGTGGCAGTACTTTTGCTTTCTGACCCCTGGACTTTTCCACCCAAAACTCAGGTCTTAGGAGGTTAAGTGCTCATGGAAGAGATGAGTTTTCAGTTAACATACATAATTTTGACTTTACAGGGAATTTTACAAATACTCACTGTGCTCGTCACACGTAGAGTCTGGATCCATTCTGAGAGCCCGGTTTGATGATTTGGTACAAGGTAAACAAATGGGCCTATGCAGAAAGTTATATATTTTATGCATTAATTGGCAAGACTGGGATCTAGTCTGCTTGTTAAGCCATGACACATTGAATACCGTTTCAGTACTTAAAGGCTTTACTACGTTTCATCTGAGAAAACCATCTCAACAGCTATTTAAAAGCTTATTTATTTATAGCACTCATTTAAGATTAAAAAAACCCACCAGATAAGGTTTGCAAGCATCTAAATATAAACCAAGGGAAAGGGTAGTTGAATCTTACCTTGCCTTCAAAGATATCGTAATGTTTTCTCTCATCCTAACCAGAGCAATGTCGTAATCATAAAACTCATTTACATTCTTGTCCTTAAGGCCTTTCACATTAAACAGTGGATGAAGAATCAACTCCATGGCTTTAACTTGACCATTACCTTTGTAAGAGAATTGAAGCAAAGTACATGTAGTTTAGCGTCTGTGCACGACCAACATAAATTCAAAGTTGACCCAATTTTCTGTTCCTGGTCTAATTCAACGCTCCATAATTTTATTCGATTTGGCTTTGATTTTTTAGCTGACTTCATAAGAGATTCTTTCTGAGGAGAATGAGTCACCTTAAATTATTCCATGACATTGTTGACAAAAGAAACAATTCTTACCATGGTGAACTGTTATGTCAGCAGCACTGGCAACTGATACAGATTCATCTGAATTCACCTTTATTAAGCAGTGAGCAGCTGTCAATACCATGCTCTTAGTCACTAGAGTCCCTCTGCATGTTTTAGCTCCCTGGATGACAAAAAAAAGTCAAATATGATCTTCCATCTGAAAGCAGGGCTTTTATAGAAGTCTTTATCTCAAGTTTGATTAAATTGTTAAACTCTTGATATGGATTTACCAACCCAGAGAACATTGGCATGCCAAGGTCTGGTGTAAGTGTTTTCGGGCTTCTCTTGCTCACCCTGGTCCTCTTGCTCTTGTGCCACTCCACACTTAGTCACAGCAGAATCACCTGATTTGTACAGTAAGGCACTATTATCAGTAAAGCTGCTTTGAAACAATTTATCTGGAGAAAAAATATTCAGATTGAAACTGAAAATAGACATATTAATTCTTCGGAGTCTCTGGATCACTTACTGATCATTCGGTTGAACACAGATCCCAGATGTTTATAGTCCTTCAAAATAAAAAAATGCAACTCATCTTTCTTGGAAGAGGCAATGCTTGTGAGATCTTTCTTGTTAACTTCTCCACTGACAGCAAACACATACACATCTGTGAAACATATAAATGCACACAACTGGTAAAACTAAGAAAACAATCATTAAAGGTGCAATACCTAAGATTTTTGCATTAAAATATCCCAAAATCACAAGGCCAGTGTTATATATTTAGTAAAGATGATAACTCACAATATTCCAAATGTTTCAAACAATGTTTAAATCGCGAGAAAATTTAGATTTTAACCAAAGAAACGGAACGTGTCAGCAGGGGTGAGCTGGGAGTCGCGAGTCAACCGCGTCATATCCGCTTACCTCAGTTTCCGCTCTTACTACGTGTAGTCCTGGACAAATGCGGTAGTTGTAGTTGTGCGTTAGCGTCTATCAAACGACAGCTTGTTTCGCGCATTTGTTATGGAATGGAGCACATATATTCTTTTCATTTATTCTGGGAATGTGAACTGTTGGCTGTAAAGGGGGTCGCACACCGGACGAGAAGCGCCGCGCCACGTTTAGGACAACTCCGCAGTAACGTTATCGAACACCGGTCGCACACTTTCTCATCAGTGTATGGCCAGCAATATTGTTATGTTTAATGACAGAAAATGAAGATAATGTCTGTTCTATGTTATTGTACTGTACAATTAAATACAATCGTTGCTGAGTCTGCATTCTGAAAACTTTACCTCAGATCATCCGTTCACAGAATGAATTGAGAATCTCACCTGAAAAATCTAATAATAATCAGTAATTGTCATTCAAGCAGCTGATTTCTGTAAATCACTGCAAAACTAAATGCATATTGCAGCATAGGGCAAAGTCAGGATCCATTAGCAACGGTTTGAGGCAAAAATAATTACAATTTTATATAAAACTATGTAAATGGCGCTCTGTGGCGCAGCAGGGTTTTGAACACGGTACTGAACCGTTGCTGGGCGCCGCGGACAGACGCCGAATGGCGCCGCCGGTATGTGTACACTTATAGATAATAATGTGTTCGAATAATTATGTGGTGCGACGCGGCGCTGCAGCTTCTCGTCCGGTGTGCGACCCCCTTAACGTTAATTTTGTGAAACTGTAGCTGTGGTTGAATACTTACACGACATGAAAAGATGTGTCAAATGTACATTGCAGACATCCCAAGAATCCCGGAAGTTCCGGGAGTCTCCCGCATATTGATAGCGTTTCTCTGATGCCCGCAAATTAGTTCAAATCTCCCGGGATATAATGTTAGAGCGAGACATACTGCGCGCATAACATACAGCGCGCTGCGCGTGCACTGTACAGAGGGAGAGACTTTGCGAGTGTGCCTCGCGAACGCGAAAGTTAGCCTTCCCTCCCACCCCCACAATCTTGTTATCGAAATATACCTCCCGGAAATGAATTCTTGCAGGTTGGGATAACTGACATTAAATAGATTTTTTATTTTTATAAAGTTACCAAGGAGGACCAACCACGTCAACTCCTTGCAAGAGACCTGCCCCTTCAAACCCTCTCCACCACCATAGCTTCGTCCAGTGACTCGTACAGTAACATCTGTGATAACTAATTTACGTTTAAACCTGACTTTTCTTGCGCGTTATTTCTGTTTTTTGAAAAACAAGCATGTCATTAAACGCAACGTTTATAGAAATCGAACTTTACCTCATCCATGACTACTAATTTTCGATTCCCGTCTGACTTATTTATCCACGGTGGAGTTGAAAACAACAGTTCCCATCATTCCGCGTTCCTCCACGTCGTCATCAAGCAAAGCCAGTGTTGTTGTTTTGAATGTAGCGCCCTCTAGCGGCATCTAAATCTTAGGTATTGCACCTTTAATGTGGGTGGGAGTAATCAACACAATATTCTTGTTTTAGTGGTGCAAATGGTCCCCATATGTAAATATGCACATTTTATAATACAGGACAATTTAATAATTTATAGAATTTTTTTTTTCCACAGGTCTATGGATCACCACTTAGAGAAACCTGGATTACGAAGGTGGGCGGACTCATTCGGCCTTATTGCGCATTGCACTTTCTCTAATTCGTAGCAATAGATTGTCCTTCTATAGTTAAAGTTAAATTGTTAAGTGAATTAATTGTGTAAACCGCTCTCTAAAACCCACTTGTATCAGTGTGATTTACATAGAACTAAGATGATGTTAGTGCAGCTTCTAACAACACTGTGGTATCAGTACTTAAAACACACAAAGAACAGCAATGCTAATGTTAATGCTAGCTAAAGCTAATGCTAGCTAAAGTATTTCAATGGGGAGGGATTTACAATTAAGACAGCTACGTGACAACTTACATATTTAAAAAAATTATGATATAAATGATGGGCACTAAATACGAACAAGAATGTGTATTAAGATGTGGTTGAATATGGTTGACAGCTTTGTAAGACAAAACAACAGTAAGGCAAAAAAAAAAACACTTGCAATGAAATGCGAGCAATGATCAAACAATTCGAGACACAACTGGAGTGTTAAAAGTACATAAAATGTTTTTTTGTTGTTGTTGTTTTTTATTATAACTAGTGGCATTTTCTTTAAATAGAAAGCATATACAGCATCAGGCAGGATTTATTTGTCAGAAAGATGAAGGGGCGAGAGAGAGAAAGAGAGTGTGTGCCTACATCACGTCTGAGGACCAATTATGTGTCCATTGCGATTATTGTTCTACCTAGTGCATTTATTGCATTACAAAGACATCAAAAAAGAAAAAAATAGTGCAATATCTTTTTCTCTACTTACACAGAAGAGGAAGTGTTAATGTTCTAAGGCGTTTCTTTCCACGTTTGTATTGCATACAGAATCGAAGACAAATGACTCAAATTATACCCATAGTAAATATTGTGCTTCTTAATACCTCAGAAAGAAAAAAAAAAACAGCGTTTTAAATGGATGCTGTATTGGTCCGCTAGAAAACAATGCAATGCCATAACAGATAAGGGAAAAAAACAACGCATCATGTACATTTCCATGTTATAAGATATGCCAACTACAACAAAGCAAGTTTTTGCCTTAAATAAAAGTAGCTGAGTTCATATCCTACTGGTCCTGACAAATACTTTGACACTGCACAGGAAAAATAAGTTGGAAAAAAAATCGTCTCTCAAATAAAATTTCAGGTACAGTAACAGACTTACAATACACGTCTATATGGTATTCTGGAGAGTTTGAAAGCAGAAATGTGTGGCTTGTATTTTAATTAACTTATGATTATGTGTTACCAAAATTATTACTGGAGTGGAGTGCAAAAATTCTTCATGATCATGACAGTTGAAAGATTAAAGATTATTAAATACATTAAAGACTTAAGATACATTAAAGACTTAACTTTACATAGACAAGCTTATTAAGCAATGTCTATGTATAAAGTTTCAACGCATTCTCATCCTAGGGCGTCATATAGTGACGCTTTTGACAATGCGTATACATCCAACGCACATGGCACCCTTTAGCGTCAATATAACACGCTTCGGTTATGGGTAGGTTTAGGTGTGTGGTAGGGTTAGTGTTAGACCACTAGGAGGCGCCTTCTGGCCAATATATATCTGCGTCTCATATTGACGCTAAAGGGTGCCATGTGCGTTGGATGTATACGCATTGGCAAAAGCGTCACTATATGACGCCTTGGGATGAGAACGGACTGAAAGTTTATGTATAATAAGTCTTGTGGCTTTACTTTTGAAACTGTTTCTCTCCTCTTAGACGTCCATTTTAAGTCTATTACTGTATGCACATGTACTTTTTTCAAATTTTTACAAACTGAGGGTATAACCAACATGTCACAGATTCTGTCAGTACAGCTTAACTTGAACTTTCCTTTATTACATCAATCCAAATATGTGTTATGGTTAAGCGTTAACATACAAAAATAACAGTGGAGGTATTGAAGCCCATGAGATTGAAAAGAAGCTTTACAAAGAAAATGAACTTGTGGCAGAAGCCCCTTGTCTGTGGTCAGTATAAAAGAGGGTGAATTGTCTTACTAAATAGAATAATACTTACAAGAATCAATGCAATACTTAAGTATTTTAGAAAGAAACGATCAGATCTCATGCAACACTTGCATAGAATTTTTTTTCAGTCATGCTCTGATTTTCTTTGTTTTTTAAAATATAGAACAATAGATTAAAGTGAGACATGTCGATAGCAAATAAAGATGCAGTACACTAAAAGATAGGATTGGTCAAGGCATTTGTTAAAGTGGAATTTTACCCTGACTTCCACACTTCAGAACATGTACATTTCCCATGACCCTCTAAAGGCTTTGCTTCAAGATCGGTGCTGTAAACACAATGTCCAGGACTTTGACATACAATCTACGCCAGTTTGATCTTATGTTAGAAAGGCAAGAGATACAGTGACTTCTAATGACCTGAGATCAACATGTGACGTGGGTTGTTAACAGGTAATCTGACTCTTTTTGTCCTTAAAGGAGTAGTTCACTTTTCAAAAAACTTGCTGATAATTTACTCACCCCCATGTCATCCAAGATATCCATGTCATTCTTTCTTCAGTCGAAAAGAAATTAAGGTTTTTGATGAAAACATTCCAGCATTTTTCTACATATAATGGACTTCAGTGGGAACCAAACGGTTCAAGATCCAAAGGACACTTTCAGTACAAACTGCAAACTGTTCAAAGGGCTTTAAATGATTCCAGACGATGATTAAGGGTCTTATCAAGTGAAACGATCGCTCATTTAAAAATCAATATAACAAAGTTTATGTTTTATAAGCTCAAATGGTCACCTTGCTCTGTTCTGTGACGCACGTTCCTGTTCGAACTCGTTCATCAAAATGAACAAATCTTTTTCCGAGGCGTTTGGTTCATTCAATCAACAAAACGAACTAATTGACTCGAAAAAAGATTCGTTCATTTTGATGAACGAGTTCGAACAGGGGAGTCAGGAACGTGCGTCGCAGTACAGAGCAAGGCGACCATTTGAGCTTATAAAACTTAAACTTTGTTATTTTTTTTAAATGAGCGATCGTTTCGCTTGATAAGACCATTATTCGTTTATTATTATCGTCTGGAATCGTTTAAAGCCCTTTAAACAGTTTGCAGTTTGTACTGAAAGTGTCTTTTGGACCCTAAACCGTTTGGTTCCCACTGAAGTGCATTATATGGAGAAAAATCCTGGAATGTTTTCATCAAAAACCTTAATTTCTTTTCGACTGAAGAAAGAAAGACGTGGATATCTTGGATGACATGGGAGTGAGTAAATTATCAGCAAAAGTTTTTTCAAAAGTGAACTACTCATTTAAACGCAAACGCTTATAGCTATTTAATTTGTATTACATTCTTAGTATTGCCACAAGGGGCACTCTAGCATGCATTAGCATAAAATGTCTTCTCTTTCACGTCAACAACAGTTTGAAGGGAATTTAGCTCGACACATTTTGCTTGAAACACTTGCTTTCACGCACATGCGTAGAGTATGTTTCAGGCCCTGGCTTTCGCCGTGTCAGTGTATTGTCGTAGCCACCAGTAATTGTTGTTTCGCCTGTTGGGATTTCAGTGTATTTCAGCTCTACAACTCAAGCTATGATGAACATACTATGATTGTGATGTACTCAATCGTCAGATTAGGCATCAATTTTGGTCGATAAGACGAGTCTTTACAATCTTATATGAGGGAGGATGTTTCTAAAAGTGCATTGTGGGAGAGTACGGCTCCAGTACAATCAACGCAATACAATCAATTGAGGGACAGTCAATTTAGCAACGTCCCTCTGCAGGACAATGCATTAGTGCTGAGGACAAGAGGTGTTAAGGCATGCAACTATACATTCACTCAAGTCTCTGTGCATGTTTGGAAATAACTGTGTAGTCTACGTGAAATCATACTTTAATACGCATCCTATTCGTAAAACCAATGCGTTAAATCAGAAAGGTTTAAGGATTAGGATTTACAGATACATTAATTTAGATGTTTTAATTGTACGTTTTCTCGCAAAAGACCCAAAACAAAACTACAGCGCTACATGCGAGTGTACTGCAACTTTATGTGACTTCACATAACCGTACAACAACTGACGTTACATATATTTCAATGCGCCTCACGTCAACAATCTCTGAGTGAGAGCAATCCTGACTTTGTAAACATCGCAACATTTGTTAAAAACAAAACAGATCCATAAAAACAAAGTGAAGTAACGTTCTAAAGAATTATACTCAGGATCTGGTGAAATTTCATTCGATATATACACGCTAGCTATTCTTAGATGCGTTACTAATATTCTGTTGCAGATTTTAAATAAAAAAAAAAACGAGTAGATTTTTCTACTCTTACTGTATATACTTAAAGTTTTCTAAAAGTCCTGTTTCAACCCTAATGTGCAAATAGTCCTAAATAGTTGTATTTGAGACATGCAGTGGTATAGATATACAGGTAAGTATTAAGGCCAGTTTGAATTGTCCTACACTGGATAAACCTTAGCCTAAGCTGCTACAGGTAACATCCGAGTCTAGAGTCATGATAATGAGAAAAGGGATTTCTTGGATTTGGTCGTAACACAACCTGGTTGATATGCTAATGTAATCACCGACCAGGTCATTAAACTAGCAAGCAGTCAATGTGTCGTCAAAGCAAGATGTGACACAGTTTTTAAATCTGGCCACTAGTGGTAACCACACTTTTAGATGCCCAGAGCCTGGAGGAGGAAAGAGTGGCGAGAAACAGAGGACTGAGGAAGATCACATTCTTCTTGGTACCTTCTGAGGCAGTTCACTCGGCAGCCATTTCGGTAATGCTAGTACAACTCCTACCTACTTAAATGAGGATATCGTTTTGCCAACCTTTCAACAATTGTTAAAATCACTTAAAAACACTGATACAAAAATTAAAATTGAGCTCCTTTAGCTTTATAAATCATGTTAGTCTAGCTAATGTGCATGCATATTCTAGACAATACAGATCAGGAGGCCTTTGATTGGCTCTTTTAAATGAGAGACGCCATTTTGAGTGTTATGATTTCTCATCAATCATTGGTTCTTGTC